CTCTGGACACAGCAAAGAGGAGGGCATCTTTTTTTATTATTATTTTTGGGTTTAGTCTCCAGGTAGCAGATTGGTTTTTGCTGTCTGGCGAGCTTGTGTGGCAGAAACAGTCTTGTAGGCACTCATCTAGATTTATGTAATGGAAACACTTTGTGTAAGAAGCAGCCGCTCCCATCTGTGGAGCAGGGCACCTCTGGAGAGCAGTTGATCCATTAAAGACATTAAGGTGCATCTGAGGGTGCCTCTGACCATCTTGCTGTAGGAAGCCAGCACCTAAATGAGGTGTGTGGTTAGCTGGGATCAGCTCAAGTTTTCCAGCCTTGCATCCTAACTGTGGAAGGAGGAGATGTGGCCAGTCTGTCTTACGGGCTTGTCTAGGGACCACACCAAAGACTCCCTCTTCCCTGAGGAGATGCCAGTAGGTGGTGACTTGTGTGTTGCTGACATTAATCAGTTAGATGAATTAGTGGTTAGACTTGGATGATGGCCACTCTGAGGTGGATCAGTGGTCCTTGGATGACTTCAAACCTGCTGAGGTAAGGAGCAACCAGCTGAGCTCCTTGGTGAAGAGGAAATGAGCCACTGTCTATCTATAGCTGAAGTCATCCTTGCAGCCCTCTGGGCCATGCTGCCATTTCATTTTCATCTTTATCCTGTGTTATTTTGGTACAGAGCAACCTCCTGTCCTTGGGAGACCAAGATGCAGTAAAAAGTAACTGTGGAGACAGCTTCTGATCTTCCTGTCAGGGGTAAGAATTAAGTCCTGTCTAATTCTGTGCTCCAGGATGGATTCCTGTGCAGAAACATCCCATCCCTTAGTCTGAAAACAAAGCTCAGAATGGAACAGCAGGAGGAAGAGCCTGCAAAACAGTAACAATTTTCAGCTGCTTAAGGTGATAGAGCTGATGGCCAAATCTGGCCTCTGCATAGGTCTGTAGGTCTCTTCCCGTATGCTTCCACTGCTTACCCTCAGACATGTAAAAAGTGCTGATGTCCCTCTGTGGGGGACATTCACAGCACCTTCTGTAGGTGATGCAGAAAAGAGCAGAGTGAGAAATACGAGTATTTGAAGCTCCATGCTGTGATGGAGGCACCTTTGACAAGGTGGGATGTGGTGGGTAGTAAGGGGTGCAGGTATGTCCCTCTTGGTAGCGTAGGCTGGCTATACCACTTGCATGTGCCCTGTAAGCCAGCTTCACTGGCGAGTTTACGGGGCAGACCTCTGGTCTTGGAGAAGTGGGGTTCCCTAGGTGGGATCTTGCAGTTGCACAGTAAAAACTGTTCTCTAGCGAAGGGAGAAAAAGTTTTCCTTTTTTCTAAAGGTTGTCAAACCTCAAGAAAACTCAGGAGCAATTTGATGGCTTTCTTGTGAACTGAAAGTAAAAGGAAAATTTTTTGAGTGGGGAGCTGTTAACCTTGGAGACATGGACAAGGGTGGGTTGGGTGCCTAGGGTGGGTTATGAAGCAGGTTGTCTTTTCTAGTGTCTGTGTATCACCTGGGTTAGCCAAAACCTGGCTAGGGCTGTCTAGTGCGCAGCATGCAAAACTAAGAATCACAGCCCGCTGTTGGTGGTGATAGATGTTAGTGACCTGTTATCCCCAGAAGGGTGTGAGGGGGTAGGTATTTAGGAGACATCTCAAACTTGCTGCTGCTTTTTGGGCAAGCTGAGATGACAGAGGGAAGTGTTTCGCAAGGGCCGTCGTGACTGCAGGGCAGAAGAGCCGGCTTGCAAAGGATGCTGTGGCTGAGAGTCCTGTCTCCCCCGCGGGGGACACAGCACAGCTGACAACAC